GCAGGTGAGCACAGAGACGACGTAGGTGATGAAGATAATTAACCATCGGCAACAACAACCAGCTCAAATGACCATCAACGGGAGAGATTTTTCAGAGGTTACTTCCTTCACTTATCCGTCTGGGAAGCATGGTTTCAACCACAGGCAGTCGGAACGGATGAAGATGTCAAAGCCAGCCAGTCAGAATCAGAAAGACGAGATGAGCCGTCATTAACCTGAAACCCATTTCGAAATCTTCTTCATTGTTTCGGTATGAAGAACAAGATTCGGAATTTCAACACAAATGTCAAGTCAGTCAGTTATTCTACATGGATCCGAAACTTTCACTGGGTGTCACGAAAAACACTTCCAACAGATTGCAGACGTTTGTCATTAGCTGCCACCTTCTCTGACTGTCTCCATACTGAAGATCAAATGGCCAACTGGCTGGCCAGAAAGAATTAGCAACAAGAAACTCTGGCTGGAAACAAACCAACAGGCGAGAGCCGATTGCTCAACAAATATGCAGAAGACAATGGAGATGGATTAGACATACTCTGAGGAGGCCGTCGAATGACATTGCGCGCAGTGCAAGCCATCACTCGAGTGAAATCTGAATGTTAAGTGACGAGTGGGACGTTCTAGAGTGAAGTGGAGGAGATCTTGCGAGGAGGAGATGAGATATTATGTGATGGAGAAGATTTGTAGCTCAGGTGGATGATTTTGATGTGGTTGTGTTCTCTGAGCTGGATAGTTAATTTGCGAAGCTTTCATCACTCTACTATGTGACATCTTCAGCGCATACTTCAAATTGAATTCGTCAATCAACTATCCAGCTCAGAGAACACAACCACATCAAAATGAGATAGTATGTTGGACCATGGACCTAGCTAAAGAGGTCAGTATAGAATTGAACAAAGAGGAGATGTGTTGCTGAAGCCTTATGTTCGGAACCCAAGGGAATAATAATAATAATAATATGGACTATATCGGAGATTATGATTTTATTCTACACTCAAAAAAAAAATCATAACTAGACTGCTGTTTCAAATTTCAACGTTCAATGATTTCCATATGCAATACTTAGTGTTCTTAGATTTTAAATAAAATATGTAGCACATATTGAAAATGTGACTTCAAAGTTCATCAAATGCACAAAAACGCAGAAATTTTAAATGTTGAGACGAATCTATTATGTGGAATTTTTATATATATATATATATATATGCATATATAATCCAAACCTAAATTAATCTACAACTGTCCATTAGTTGTCAAAATCAATGAAGAATTATGTGCATCATCACTCTTACTCAAATATTTCATCCCAAATAATAAACGGATGTCAGAAATAAAAATAAAATCTGCAGCCATTCATCCTGAAGTATAAATTAAATTACATGCGTTTAAAACTATGACATATATGACTATCAATCACTGTTATTAAGATAAGTTAACCAAGTTCAGGAAAAAACAGAAACAATTCGTAAAAATTATCATGTGGCTAGTTGAATAAAGGGTGTTATCTAATGCCTAACCGTCATTTCGACCCCATCTGATTGATATTCATGTGTCATATAAGCAGCCAGTGCTGCAGTTAAAACTGAGGCTGTTCTCCTGGCTGCAATGCTACAATGCTACTTGTATTACAGAAATATCCAAACAATAATATGACCTAGTAACATTGTCCTTTTTAAATAAGCAAATATATCTAACACCAAATAAATATATGAGCTTTCAGCTAGCATACTTAGAGGGTTTCTAGCTCGACAGCAACAGTCGCTCAGTTATAATTCGATGGTTACTTCTTAAAAATATTTACAATTCAACATGTATATGTACGCATACAAATATTTAAAAATTAGTGAAAAAAACAAACATCATGTTACCTTTTAGATAGGGTTCGACGATCCATATTACTACCAGTTAACAGTCTGCAATAGTCCGGACAGCGCAGTTTGTTTTTTAAAAGTGACTGCTTTGTTAGTACTTGTGACAATATGCTAGTGTTCAAAATATTCAGTACAATTACTTTATCCAATTAAATTGTTGAACACTAATCAGTCCGGTGAAATATGACCAATAATGAATTGATTTCTTTGCCCGAGATCACTTTCGCAGACAGAATGCCCCTAGAGCCTCAAAGTCACTCGATGGTGATTGGATAAAACTGAATAGGTTTACGTAATATGAAAATAAGCTAAGTAGACGAATGAAGAAATTAATCGATTCTGAAATGTGATTAATACTCACTTCTGTCTGAACTACAGTCGTTCGACTAGAAGATAAATAAACAGTTAGTGACCCGTGATGACGTAACTTGACAGTAGAGACATTTTTTTGAATATGTTAAGAGACAAATGACTTTTTCTAGGAATAGAATTAAGAATGCATACAAGTTACGCAAAGGAATTTCTTTCTTGAACTGTGTGTTCTTAATTACATGACATAGATATTTTTCACACCTGTAGCATCGAATAATATGTGTGGCGCGTGTGAAGCATAAGTGGTTCGTTTGACACAGCATGGAATAATATTAATAGAATAAAGTTACGTTGAGCCGAACATGCAACTTACTAGTTAGGATAACTGCAAAACAAAAGATTTTGTAGAGGGTTAGAAAAGTAAAGCAGGAGGTGGAAGGAATTACTCCATTTAGTGAGTGATATTCAGTTCCTTAAGACACTTTTTCACTACTAAATTGCCCTAGTGTCTTCAAAACAACCTGCCACCTTCATCCATATTCACTGTACGTCTAACTTTTGGATGGGGAGTTCCTGACAGAAAATAGTGAATATATTACTCAGCATTATTGGATAATAAAAACTTTTTGAGATAGGAGATTAAGTGAACATTGGAAGTGAACGGAAGTTTTCAGGATATTATAAGTTACTGGGTCATTCAATTTAAATTTGTATAGTCACATGATCGATCACCAACTTGAAGAAATTAAAATGTTCATTAATTATGAGAATCCACAATTCAGAAATTCTAAGAGTGCACAGTGTCAACACAAATAGAGGTGGAGCTTATGTGATAGCCTAATATCACCTCTACATAATTTTGCTTCTTCATGATTAGTGATTAGTGTAACTATTGTCTCATGTTGAGTCATTCTGATCACATGTG